CCTGGGAGAGGGTTGCCCTCTTGGAGCCGGCATAGTCCCTAGCAGGAATGGCAGGACTTGGGTTCGAATCCCTTGCTGAGCCATAAGGACCCTCTCTAGATGACTTTGGGCAAACCACACTTCCCCAGGCTTTCCCAAGCTTCAGAGACTGACTTCCTTTTGTTCTTTGTTGACCAAATAAATAGGTTAGAAGAAAGTTGGAAGCTTTGTTTCCTTCTGTGCAAATTGTATCTGTCTGTTTTGTTACTGTGTCTGCCAGATTGCAGAGATTTTATTTTTTAAGTCTGCCTCCTATAAATTATCCCAAACCTGACATTTCTCCTTCCGCTTTGTCCATAAAGGACAGCATGATTTAGGCGCAAAGGAAGGAAGGAAGGAAGGAAGGAGGCTTTGCTATTTTTAATCCGGAGCACCTTGGCTCCATTCCACCAAATGCCTTGCAAGAGCGGGTTCAGAAAAGCCAAGGAAAGGGTTAGTTTTGGGCTCTTTTGCAAACCTTTGCCATCTTTCCCGCTTCTTGGCGTCTCCTTCCGTGTCGGTTGTTGGGGGCCAATGTGGTGTCATGGTTGGAGCATTGGACTGGGACACTGGGAGACCGGGGTTCGAATCCCACTGGGTGACCTTAGGCAAGTCACATACTCTCAGCCTTGAGGGAAGGCCATGGCAAGCTTCCTCTGAACAAATCTTGCCAAGAAAACCCCATGACTTTGGGTTGCCTTAGGGTCTCCATAAGTCAGAGATGGCTTGAAGGCACACAACAACAACAACAACAACAGTGTGGCTTCAGGTTGCCTATCGACCTTTCAAGATTATATTTACTCAAATGTCACTTGACTTTGGATGGTGGTGGTGGAGGAGGAATGGACACCGTTTTGCTTTTGTTGTTGTGCGTCCATGCATTTCCCCTAAACTGGGAATTCCTATTTGTCTCTGTTTTTGGAAAAGCAACACAACTCTCCCCTTAAACACAAGAAGCGCAAGGCAAATGCAGCTGGCTTAGTGGCCAAGAGATGCGACTCTGTGTCATCTTTATCTCCTTTCCCCATGGATGACATAAATCAATGGCTTAAGCTTGAATCCTGGCTCAGC